TTTTTTTTAACTTAAGTATATCTTGAAGATTGCTCCTTAGCAGCATACAGAGATGTTTTTTATTCTTTTATATTACAGCCTAGTACTTCATTTTATGGGTACCATCCTTTATTCAGCCAGTCTACTATTGATGGACATTTGGAGAAATAGTAATTTATTTATTTATTTATTTATTTATTTTTTTGAGGCAGGGTCTTACTCTGTCACCCAGGCTAGAGTGTAGTGGCACAATCTTGGTTCACTGCACCTCCGCCTCCCAGGTTCAAGAGATTCTTATGCCTCAGCCACCAGGTATAGCTGGGATTACAGGCATGTGCACCAGACCTGGCTCATTTTTGTATTTTTAGTAGAGACATGGTCTTGCCATGTTGGCCAGGCTGGTTTCATAAACTCCTGACCTCAAGTGATCCACTTGCCTCCACCTTACAAAGTGCTGGGAGTACAGGCATGAGCCTCTGGGCTCAGCCAAAATAGTAACTTTTAAAAAGGCATTTTCCATTCTCAAGGCTACAACCTGTAGTGTTGGCCAGTAGAGCTATTTGATCTAATTTTTAAAAAACTTTTTGTTTATACATCATGCCAAAATTCATTTTATGGCTAGACACAGTGGCTCACAGCTGTAATCCCAGCTTTGGGAGGCTGAGACAGGAGGATAGGTTGAGTTCAGGAATTCATGACTGACCTGGGCAACATAGTGAGATCTCATCTCAACAAAAAAAAAAAAAAAAAAAAAAAAAAAAAATTTAAGATTAGCCAGGCGTGGTGGCATGCACATGTTGCCTGAGCTACTCTGGAGGCTGAAGTGGGAGGATTGCTTAAGTCCAGGAAGTTAAGGCTGCAGTGAGCTCTGATTGGTGCTGTTGCACTCCAGCCTGGCTGACAGAGCAAGACCTTGCCTTAAAGAAAAAAAAAATCAAGGTTTCTTTTTAAATGATTTCTCAGGTTATTCATCATTGTAAGTAGGACAACCACAAGTCTTTTTGCCTTATTTCAGGTGTCTCTATTTTGTTTAAAAGGCTGCTACTTGTTTATGGTACCATTCTCTCATTTCTCAATATGTAGTACCAATTTAATCTCATTAAATCCTTGCTCAGGTAATAGGAACCATCATCTTTATAACACCCCAAAGACATAGTCTCTCCTTGTAATTTATCAGGTTGAAAAAGGGCTTATAGTTGATATGTATCTATTATTCATCTGCTTCAAGGAAGTACCAACTCCTAAAGCAGATTATTGTCTGTGTTAATTATGTATAAATTAAAATGTCTTATTTCAGATTTCTATGATTTGAGGAATAAAGCATTCTTCTCAATCTCAATATGACCAGTTGTTTCCATTGTTTATTCATATTTGTCTTCTGTTTAAATAATTTTAGTAATCAATCATGATTTCTACTTTATAAATCCACATAGAGTATGCCAAAGTGTTATTTAGACTTAGTTAGTTTGCCAGAATGTTATATAATCTTTTCTCCAGCCTCCCTTCTGATAGCTCATATTCCATTTTAACCTCTAATATGCTTTTAGTATTTTTGATTGCTTATACTAGAGAGAATAAAGTACAACCTTGACTTATCAAAATATTGTAAGTACTTTTGCCTGTCTCTTCCTGGACCATGCAAAGACTTTAGAATGTAATTCATCTTCTGCTTACCTCCCCTCCCCAGTTCATATGCTGCTGTCATGTATTTTAATGTCTGTTGAACCCCATAAGGCATTATTATTATTGCTGCTTTTTATAGTCATTATTCATGTGCCATGCTTACTGTGGCATGTGTTGTATTACTTAATTTAATGCTTAAGACAATCTTATGTGGTAGAAATGATTATTCTTATGTAATAGATGAGAAACGAAGGCATGGAGAGTTTATGCAATTTACATGTTCACATGGCCAGTAAGTCACAAATTAGGATTTAAACCCAGTCCAGACTCTGGTCTCTTAACTAATTTAAACTCAAGTCATGATTATTATTATTTTTTTCTCTCTCTCATTGAAAAACAATGACTTGAAACAAAAAGTTCTCACTAAGCAATTGTAAGATTTTTTGGCTGTTAGGCTAATGGGCTCACCTGGACTATATATGAAGGTAAATAACTTTTTTCATTCTTTTAGCTGACATAGCCCAGAGATACAGGATAAGCAAATACCCAACCCTCAAATTGTTTCGTAATGGGATGATGATGAAGAGAGAATATAGAGGTCAGCGATCAGTGAAAGCACTGGCAGATTACATCAGGCAACAAAAAAGTGACCCCATTCAAGAAATTCGGGACTTAGCAGAAATCACCACTCTTGATGTAAGTTGTAACTTTTGCTAGATTAAATGAACATTGCCTGATTAATTAATGTAAACATTCTAATGCAAACAAAAAATCTGGACATTCTCCTATAGTTTATTTTAATGGATTTGACATACATAATGAGTTGAATGTTTTTGAATTAATCTCAAGAGAAATGCTTATGTTATACTGAACTTCTGGATAAAAGATACTGCATACAGTAAAGTTGTATTAATTTGAATTAATTGAGCACAAAGGAAAGCCTCAATTATAAAGAAATGGAAGTTAAAGTCAAGCATATACAACCACAGCTTCTGTATTTTTCTTGTGGAGACCTTCAAGGTATCTCCTGTAATCACTCTTGTATTAGCTCTTTCTAAAATTTTAATGTCCTCTAAAATAGCTTCTTAATAATAAGTTTAGCACACTCCTTTCTTTGTACACTAGGTAGTGTTTTAAAGATAACAAGCAACAACAAAAGCAAAAACAATTGTGTTGGTTACTAATTATCACTGTCATTGGTGACTAACACAGTCATCAATCAGCAGTGTCAGGTTTGAGATTTGATTTTACCCTACTTGCAAGCTAAGCGAACCGATTACCATTACATGGATTCTATTAGAAGACATGAGACTCCTGGATCAGAGACAAAAGACTTTATTACCCACATCACAGCAAGCAGTGTGAGCATGTTTGCATTTGTTTCCTTGCCTTCCACATCCTATGGAGGCAACACATAACCCACTGCACATGCAGGTAATGTCACAGGAGAGAGACACTGGGTTTAGGGATCTCACTGTTTCAGAGCAAGCAGTAACCCTGCTGTTTGTCCTGTCAGAAGGCATTACCTCATATCTCAGTGTTGCTTGCTGCAAGCACAACTCTGAGAAATGGCCTGGATAGAGAGTAGTTAGTCAGGGTCTCGCCTTTTTTTAGTATACCCAGTAAGATGGGTAGGAGTGTGAGAGGGCCATGGAGAAGTCTCTCTGAGAGTCACAAGTTATGATTTATACATTGTTTTAACACATTTTAGAATTAGTATTCTTACTTAGGAAAAGATTGTCACTAATCAACTAGTTCTCTATTTCTTAAAAATTTAAAATGCAAGAAGGAAATATTTATAATTATATTTATTACAGTTAAGATTGTTTTCAACCCAATATAATCTTTAATCGTTTTGGACTAGGTTTTGAAAACTAAATAGCCAAAGAAACAAAACAAAAAAATAAAATAAAAACTATGCATTTATAGTCATACTTCATTTGAACAATAATTTGATCTATTTAGGTACTAAGATAAGGGGTAAATGAAATAACATGTTTATGAAACTATATGTTTGCAAAATTAGATACTTTCTTTTACAGCGGAGCAAAAGAAATATCATTGGATATTTTGAGCAAAAGGACTCGGACAACTACAGAGTTTTTGAACGAGTAGCGAATATTTTGCATGATGACTGTGCCTTTCTTTCTGCATTTGGGTAAGTATCTTAAAAGTGTGTTAATGGGTTGGTTTGGCTGACATGTTAAATTCCTGTTGTATTTGGTCATTTTCTGAAGATGATCTCTCCAAAGATGATCTCCGTCCTTTTTTTTTTTTTTTTTTTGGATTCTGGGCAACAAGCGATTCTCCTGCCTCATCCTCCCGAGTAGTTGGGACTACAGGCATGCGCCACCACACCCAGCCAATTTTTTTATTTTTAGTAGAGACGGGGTTTCACCGTGTTGCCCAGGCTGGTCTTGAACTCCTGAGCTCAGGCAGTCCGCCTGCCTCGGCCTCCTAAAGTGCTAGGATTATACTCTCTGTCCTTTTAAAATAACCAAGCGGTCTTTATACCTGTCTCTGAATTCTTTTTAAGGGTTTAAAAGTCTGTTCTTTCTATAGTATTATCTATTTCAGAATGTGGGTAAGAGGGAAAAATTGGACACGTTAACCATTAACTCATTCATACTTTTATTCAACTAATTTCTTAACACTTATCCTTTGTCAGGCAATATGCTAATCTGTGGGGTTACCACACTGAAACAACATACTGTTTTTCTTGTTATGCATGAGTTTTATCGTCTTCATTCATCTCCGTTTCTCCACCACATTTTCTTACACCTTCCCTGTCTCAGAGGAACAATTCTTTCTAAGTCTAACCTCTTCACTGGTGTCCTTGTAACTGTCCTTTCAAACTCCTCTGGAGCTTTGATACATCAGTTGTTCCTGCTTTCTTATGTTTTCAACCTGACCCTTTTCACGAACTGCTTTCCTTTTCTGATAACATGTTTCTTTCTTTTCTGACCTGCTTCTTCTATCTCTTAAGCTATAATCTCATTTTTCTTTCAATTCTTTTTTTTCCCCAAAGATTAGTTTATGCCTGGCTACTTTGATTTTCTCAAACTCTAATCAGTAAAAAACCTTAACCTTTTGGAAGCTGACTTTCACCCTCCGTTGCTCTAATGAAACTTGTCTCTACACAGTCACAAAATGACTTCTTAATTACCAAATCAAGTGGCCTTTTAAACATCTTAATACTTTTCAATTCCTCTGAAGGGTATGATAATCAACTACCTTTTCCATTTTTTGCTGTGTCAACACTTACATTTGAACCCCTTGTTTGCTCCTTTCCTGTCTGAATTCTCTGACTTTATCTCTTTTTTTTTTTCTCAAGATGCAGTCATTTTTGTGGTTCTGTTCTTGACCCTCTCTCCTCATTGGAGGTTATCTCAACCATCCTTTGACTTCCATGCAGTATTATTTCTCTTTTCATTGGGTCATGACTGTTAGGCTCAATTGTAGTTGCCATCTTGAGTAGAGCCCAGATTTGTGGCACAGCATATCCTCTCCATTTTTTGACCTTTATTGTTTGTCCTTGCTCTAATGCTTTTTAAAGATTTTGTTTGTATATTGTATTGTGTGCATTATCAGTTTTTTGTTTTTTAAGCAAAGAGGTCTCACTGTGTTGCCCAGGATGGTCTTGAACTCCTGGCCTCAAGTGATCCTCCTGTATCTGCCTCTAAAACTGCTGGGATTACAGGCATGAGCCACTGCGCTCAACCCATATTTATTAAATGCTGCAAACACACTTCTGCACCAGAGCCTTTGACCTTACTGTTCCTGTATCTGGAAGTGCTTCTCCCAGGTGTCATCTCATCAGAAAGTCCTTGCCTGATAACCTTATATAAAGTAGCACTACCATCATTTAATTTGTCATTCTTTATCTACTTATTCCACTTTTTCTTCATAGTACTTTTTTGTAACCACCCAAGATAAATATATCTACTTCTTAGTCTGTCTTTACTCACCAAAATGTAAACTCCATGAGAGAGAGAGTTTTGTTAGTTTTGTTCACTCCTGTTTACTCAATGCCAACACCATACCTGGTACAAAGGAAACACATAGTAAATAGTTAATGAATGAATGAATTAATTAATGGAACATATTCTTTCTGTTTCTGTCATCAATCTAGGTTAGCACCCCTTCCCCCTATCTCCTGGACTACTCTAGTTACAAACTGGAGATAAATTAGTGTTCAATTAATCTAAAAATAATTGATTACAAAAATAATCTGTTGTAGTAGTCATTCTAAAAATGTTTATTGAGCAGCTGTTATGTGCCAGATACTGTACTAGGTTTAGGAAATAACAATTGACAAATAAACAAAAAATTACTTGATTTATGTAAAAAATTATCTATTATTTATGATTCTTTTGTATCACCAGTAGATTTTCTGGGTTCATGGATGGTTTTAAGAATGTACTTTTTAGCCTGAGCAACTTATGGAACTATATTTGAGTGATGTGGGTTATTTCCTTTTTTTTTTTTTTTTTTTTTTTTTTTTTTTTTTTTTCCATGTGACCAAACCAATGATCTTGATTTTTAGTTGCTAGAAAACAGCCTGGGGTCAAAAACAAACTTTTAGTGCTAAAACTCCCAATCTAAACTGATACAGAACACAAAAACAACTAACTAACATTTTCCTTTAAAAAGTCTGCCTCATTTTAAAGATTTTCTTTAAATGTTTGCTTTTCTTCGTATTGCATAGTCTTACAATAGGAAAGATTATTGATAAGTATATATTTGTCTGTAATTCATACATTGCAAAATTCTGTCATTCAGATTTATTACTATTTCTCCTTTCCTATAGGGATGTTTCAAAGCCAGAAAGATACAGTGGAGACAACATAATCTACAAACCACCAGGGGTAAGTTGCTATTTCTTAATGTGTATGATAAGATATAATTTAAATACATGTATAACATGTTTTAAATGTGTTAATGTTCACAGAATCATAGAACTTTAGAATTGAAAGTACCTTTGAAGCATCATCTTATGCTAATCTAAACCCTTCAGAATGAAGATGGGACCACAGAAGTCTAAAGTCACACAGGCATTAGAGTGGCAGAGCTGGTATAGGGATCCCCTGACTCTCAGGCCTTTTCTACCTTTCTGGTATTCAGTTTGGGAGCCAAATTTTAAAAATGCTCCAGTTGTCCGTGATCATCACTTGTACCTATATTGTACAAGCCAAACTCCCAGATCTTCTGGGGTATAAATTTACTAGGTACCTTCCAGATAATAAGGAATAGCTAGGTTGTTTTGAACCTGTGGGGTAAGAAGTTTTAAGGAGCTCCTTAGGCCCTACCAGGTGATGGTAGCCATAAATAAGAGGCAAAAGTCATAGTATGTGTTATCCCAAATTCACCAAGGGTCTGCCATTGCAATTTTTTTTACATACAAAAAAAATGGAAATTTATAGATTTTTTTTAATTAGTAGTTTTCATTTGAATGTTTATGGGGTTTTGACACTGAGATTTTGAATTTTTATGCAGTCAGATAAATGAATTTCTTGCTTAGAAAATATCCTACTTTGAATTCACCTAGGTGTTTGCCTATATTTTTTGCAAGTGCATTTCTTTAAGTAGCTTACCTTAGTATCATCATCTCTAGATTGTCAATCCAGTACATATCTCCCAATGTAGTGTGGTTGTTCAGAGGATGGGTTCTGGTGGCATCAGACTGGATTTGAACATCAAATGTGCCACCTTCTTAGGTATGTTACTCTGGGAAAGTTTCTTCACTTCCCTGTGCTTCACTTTCCTAATTAGTAAAAGTGGGATGATAGTAATAGTACCTGCTTTATAGGGATGCTGGGAGGATTAAATGAATCAACACATGTAAAATGCTTACAACCATGCTTAGACACATTAAGTTTACTCAATAATATTAGCTATTATTGTTATCATTTGAGACACTTCATAATGATTTTGAGTTAATGTGGAACAAGATATGTAGGTAATAAAAGTAATAAGTCTTGCCTTACATTCATATAGCATCTTGCATTTTTCAAGGCCTTTTCACTATTCATAGTTTCTTCTAAAAGAAGAATTTTTCAGCTCTAAGGAGTAGCTAAATTAATTCATTTGGAGAATTCTTCGTTGCAACTGCCTTCCTGCCTTTGATGAAGATACTGATAAAGAGTTAATTGACCTATATCCAAGGAAAAGCAATAGGCTTGGGTGTCACAGGTTGGATTTTTATCTCCCTGGTAATCACAGAATTATCTGCCTTTTACCACCTATGATTCGCTTTCTTGGAAGTTCTATGATTTATGATTCTTCTGTATCACCAGTAGATTTTCTGGGTTCATGGATGGTTTTAAGAATGTACTTTTTAGCCTGAGCAACATAACAAGACCCCATCTCTGCATAAAATAAAATAATTAGCTTGGCGTAGTGGCACACACTTGTAGTCCCAGCTACTCTGGAGGCTGAGGTAGGAGAATTGCTTGAGGCTGGGAGGTCACGGCTGCAGTGAGACATGATCGTGTCACTACTCCAGCCTGGGTGACAGAGTGAGACCTGCTTTAAAGAAAAATAAATACAATGTACTTTTGCCAGCACAGGTTAATTTTTTTTTCCTGTTTTGTAATAGCATTCTGCTCCGGATATGGTGTACTTGGGAGCTATGACAAATTTTGATGTGACTTACAATTGGATTCAAGATAAATGTGTTCCTCTTGTCCGAGAAATAACATTTGAAAATGGAGAGGTATGGGCTTTCTACTGTGTATTATTACTTTAAATGTCCGAAATCACGAGCTTCCTCCACCTGTCTTACTATGTTAACAGTTATCAGTTGTAAGAATCAAATAGTGAATATAACTATATCATAGCTATTTCTGTAATATAAGCCAGTGATTCTTTACCTTTGCTCTCCCAGAACCCCTTTGTTATATTTTCACTAATAGCAGTAGTTCACTACAGCCTTGAAAATGAGTTTGCAAATGCCTTTCAGGTGATTCTGATGCCCAGCTGTTGGTTGAGGATTCTGTTTATGTGGATGTCCTTTAGAACAAGGGTCCTCAGTCCCTGGGCGGCAGACCAGTACCAGTCCATGGCCTGCTAGAACAGGGCTGCCCAGTGAGAGAGCATTATGGCCTGAGCTCTGCCTCCTGTCAGATTAGCAGCAGCGTTAGATTGTTATGAGTGTGAACCCTGTTGTGAACTGCACATGGAGGGATCTAGGTTGCATGTTCCTTATGAGAATCTAACTAATGCCTGATGATCTGAGGTGGAATAGTTTGATCCCAAAATCAAACTATTCCCCCACCCCAATTGGTGGAAAAATTGTCTTCCATGAAACCGGTCTTTGGTGCCAAAAAGGTTGGGGACCGCTGCTTTAGGAGCAATGCTTTGCTGATTTTAGTTGGAATTATTTGTATACAATGAATAATCCTTTGGCACTAAAAGATTTCTCTGTTTTTTTTGTAAAGCAGTTATGTTGTCTTTAATGAAAGCGGTTATCAGTGATCATGTAACTGACTTCAGTCATCCATGTATCTGAAATCAAGCCCATCAAAATTTGTACAACTCCCACAAAAACAAAACTCCAAAACCTGAGAGGCTAGAGGAACAAGTATAAAGAGTTATGTCTGTAAGGACCTCTCTCCTTTCTTTAGTTTGTTAGACATATATTCAATTTCAGGTCTTTTTTTTTAAACCAATGGCCTAAGAATGCAAGTTTTTAAAAACTTTGTAAAATGTATATGTATGCATATACATTTCAAAGAATTGGAAGTGTATAAATCACAGTTGAAATATCTGACCTCCCAAAATTATCACAGAGTAAACATATCCATATAATCACTATTTAGGGTGGTGGACCAAATATTTGTGTATCTGAATATTCATATGTTGAGATCGTAATCCCCAGTGTGATAGTATTAGGGAATGAATCCTCCATTCATGAGATGGACTTCTCATGAATGGTGTTAGTGACCTCATAAAAGAGACCTCAGAGAGTTCTGTAGCTCTCTTTCTACCATGTGAGGATACAATGAGAAGCAGGCAGTCTGCAACCTGGAAGACAGCCCTCATTAGAACTGACCATGCTGGCACCCTTATTTTGGACTTCCAGCCTCCAGAAGGATGAGAAACGAATTTCTGTTATTTATAAGCTACCCAGTTTATGGTACTTTAATATAGCAGCCCAAACTAAGGCAGAGAGAGGGTGGACAATTTTTTTCGGCAAAGGACCAGGTTTGTTGTATGATAGGCTTTGTAGTTCATATAATCTCTATTGCAGCTACTCAGCTTTGCAGTTGTGACACAAAAGTAACCTTAAGACAATATGTAAACAAATGAATATGGCTGTGTTTCAATAAAGCTTTATTTCTGGACACATAATTTTCACATGAAATATTAAAATTTTTTCCCAATTATTTAAAAATGTAAAAAACCCTATGCTGTGGCTCACACCTGCCATCCTAGCACTTTGGGAGGCCCAGGAAGGTGGGTCACCTGAGGCTGGGAGTTCAAGATCAGCCTGGCTAACATGGTGAAACCCCATCTCTACTAAAAATACAAAATTAGCTAGCATGGTGGCGGGTGCCTGTAATCCCAGCTACTCGGGAGGCTGAGACAGGAGAATGACTTGAGTCCAGGTGGTGGAGGTTGCAGTGAGCTGGGATCTGCCACTGCACTCCAGTAACTGCACTCTGGACAACAGAGTGAGACTCCGTCTCAAAAAAAAATTTAAAAAGTAAAGGCCATTTTTAGCTTGTGGACCAAACAGAATCAGGCAGCAAGTCAGATTTGACGCATGGCTGTAATTTGCCAATCCCTGAGATAGGTCAAGAAATAAAATATTTCCAAACCCCTTGTCTTCTCAATCATTACCCCATTTACCATCTTAATCACCATAGCTATTTTGAATAGGGCTATCTGAAGTTTTTCCTGTTTTTGAAACTGAAATGGAATCATGCCGTTTGTTCCTGGCTTCTTTCACTCAACTTTATATTTATGGAATTCATTCATATTGCATGAAGCTGTAGTTCATTCATTTTCATGCTGAATATAATTCCGTTATATAAATATAACACAATATATCCAATCTACTGTTGGTGGACATTTAGACTGCTTCCAGTTTTTGACTACTGTGAATAATGCTGCTATGAACATTCTTATATATGTCTTTTGGTGAATATATGCACAGATTTCTACTTGATATATATACCTATGAATAGAATTGCTGAGTCATAGGGCATATATACATTCAACTTTAGTGGATGATATCAGTTTTTCCAAAATGGTTTTAGCAGTTTACATTCCTACCAGTAGTATATCAAAGTTCACATTGCTCCACATTCTTACTGACATTTGACATCAGCCATTTACATTTTTAATCTATTTTGGTGTATGTGTAGTAGAGTCTCATTGTGGTTTTAATTTGTATTTCCCTGATGATCAGTGGGATTGAGCACTATCAGTTGCCTTTTCTGGAAAGACAGATGGTCTAGGAGAAAAGCAGCTTCAAATGCCATGCTTAATGTTCTGGGTTTCCTTCCATTCCAGACTTGGCCCATAATTTCTTTCCTATTTTTTTTTTTTTTAAACTCTTGGATGCTTTCAAAAGGTGTTTTATTATTATTATTACTCTGGTTTTTCTAATTTTCCCAGTAGTAAGATTAGCCCAAATTACATCCACTATTACTCCAGAATGCAATTTTTAGCACTGTTGCTTAACCTAATTGTAACCCAACAAAACCTGGAGTTCTTTTGTGTGTGTGTGTGTGTGTGTGTGTGTGTGTGTGTGTGTGTATTGTTTTTTTAATTTTGCTTTAAGTTCTGGGGTACATGTGCAGATCTTGCAAGATTGTTACATAGGTATACACTTGCCATGGTGGTTTGCTGCATCCCTTCCCGCCATCATCTACATTAGGTATTTCTCCTAATGTTATCCCTCCCCAATCTCCGCACCAACTGCCATCTCTCCCCCAGCTCCCCACCCCTCAACAGACCCCAGTGGGTAATGTTCCCCTCCCTGTGTCCATGTGTGCTCATTGTTCCACACCCACTTACGAGTGAGAACATGTGGTGTTTGAAAACCTGGAGCTTTTAAGAAGGAATATAATCTCAGATTTGATGCCTTCTGTTACTAAGGGTGTATGTATGCTTTAAGATTTGGGGATAATATATGTGAACTCTCCAAGATTCCCTGAAACTCTCCCTGAATCTTTCCAGAGGCTTCCTAACTTTTGGGACTGGCCATCGTGAGCAAACCAGAATGTTCTTTGCCCCCTTTTCATCTTGAGAATGCATTCTTGGGGTATTTTTGCTGTGCGTCCATTGGCATTTCCAACACTTAGACTGGAATATATAAGGCAAAAAGAAAACCCAAGGAACTGAATGCCATTTCTTGGGTCCTTAAGTCCTTAGCCAGTCTTTCTTTTATTCGCTTTTCAGGGCCTTACGTTTGTTATGTAATGTCCAGGATTTTTAGGTGAACTTCATGGGAGAAATAGAGAAAAGAATCTGCTTCATCTTTCTGGAAGCAGAAGTCTATGCCAACAGAATTTTAAAACTTTTTATAACTTTTTTTTTTTTACCTGATTTAAATGTTGCCTTTGCATTTTGGCACATAAAAATAAGCTAGCATTTTTATGTCAGCATGGAACATTTTTGGTGTACCTTTCCCACCATGAAATAATATTAATCCTTATAAGCTTGTAGCAATTTCAAATCAAATGTATGAGTGTTCATATGAGATTCTCTGGGTGTGTTTGCTTGGACAGATCATTGCAAACCTCAATCATCTTACAATGGCTCTTTGCTGAGTGTCTGCATGGAAAGAGGATTAGTGCTGCCAGGATCCAGTTAAACATGTCAGAATACCCCACTGGGACATCCTACTTGTTTATAATAGCTATTTCTCAAATCAGGGTTCTAAAAATGGCTTCTCATGAAATGTGATTAATATAGTTTTAAGCTTGCAAGCTTAAATGTCGTAAACTTATCAGTCTCTTTGCACTAGATATTTTCTTAATGCAATGCCATATTTTAAAATATTTTGGAATTTTGAGTCATAGAAGACTTGAGTGAAAATTCTAACACAGTCTCTTTCCAAGAGACTTTTCTTGGAAAGTCTCTTTTTTTTGGTTCAAAGAAGTTGATTTACCAAGTTTTCTAGTTTATTTTGTTCCTGAAATTCTTTGATTCTACTTCCTTTTCCCCAGTTTTTTAGAATTTCCAAGAGTATTCCTAATTTGAAAATCTGAAATCTGAAATCCTCCAGAATCCAAAAGTTTTTGAACACCAACATGACATTCTTGGAGCATTTCAGATTTTTAGATTAGGGATGCTGGATTGGTAAGAATAATGCAAATATTTCAAAATCCAAAACACTTCTGATCCCAAGCATTTTGAATAAGAGATACTCAACCTTTACTTCTGTATGACATCTTGAATTTTGAGGCCATTCTT